GGCCTTCAGGTACAAGCTCTCCCTCCTCTGTGAGGGCAGATCTACACGTTCCCCCCCCCCAATAGCTAGCAATCCAAAACAGTCCAGTGGAGCCTGAGCGGTGGGTGTTGCCTTCTGACACACTTCCGGTGATGTCAGGGGGTGTGGCATATGCAAACAAGTTATGCTAATGAGGAGCTCATTAGCATAAGTTATGCTAATGAGTTATGCTAATGAGCTCCTGCACCTCTTTTTCTACAAAATGACCCCTGAGTAGGCCACCCCTCCATTTCACTTCTAAAAGAGGCACGCTTCAATTTGTCCAGTGGCATCTTTAAGACTAACAAAAAAAGTTTATTCAAGGTAGGAGCGTTCGTGTGCAAGGCACGCTTTTTCAGATACACTGGAATGGAAGTCAGAGTTCAAACTTATAGACAAACTTATAGACAGCAGTTTTACATGTAAGGTGATGAAGATGTTTTAAGTTATGCAAAAACAAGGCTATGTAACAAGCTGAGGTTGTAAGGTCAACAGTTGCTTTGATTTTAATTAAAGGGGGGGGGGGACCAAAGCAATAAATATGTCAAAATAGGGAATCAAAACAACTGCCTGAACTCTAACTTCCATTCCAGTGTATTTGAAAAAGCGTGCTATGCACACGACAGCTCCTACCCTGAATAAACTTTAGTTGGTCTTAAAGGTGCCGCTGAACTCTAAATCCGTTCCACTGCTTCAGCCCAACACGGCTGACCACCCGGAATTAAATGTGTCCACTGTGCCTTTTCATTGATTGTACTGTTGCTTGTCTTTCAAGGGCAGTTTTTCTTCCTTTGTAAAGTGCAAAACTGCCACAGGGCGTTGAGGGGGTGGGGTCTTGGCGACATCTTAAGGCGCCAGCCAATCAGGGCACTGCGCAGCCCACTTTTACGGCAAACTTTCCAAAACTTTTTCCTCCTGCCCCAGAACTCAGCCTTAGAGAGAACGAGATACATTTGGGTGAATGGTAGCGAGGGAGCTTCCACTGCTTCTTACATCAGTGTCCACCCTAGATGGATGGGAGGTCAAATCTGCTTCACCCTCAGTCCCACCACTCTCTGTTCATGTCCAAACCTCTGAAATTTGACCGTTTCTGAGAAACACAGATTCAAACCCAGCCATCAGGTTCAAGAATGGGATTTCATCACAGACCCGTTGCGAGAACAAACGTGGGAACGTGAGACCTATTACATGGTGCAATGCCCTTTTAAAATTTCTCTGGAATAATGATGGTTAACAGTCCACAAAAGCTTAATCGACATTCACAGGTGACTTCAGACCAAGAAGCAAAGATTCAAGTAGCAGATGGTGCCCCACAACAGTGTGGGGACATTCGAGGATTGTGTGTGCGTGTGTACGCACGCGCAGATGATTGTCTAAAAATATCAGTGCATCATAAGGAGGAATATTTCAGAGGTAAAGGCAAAGTAAGACCAAAGTGACATTTCTCCCTCCTGCAATTTCTACTGGGGCCAACGGCAACATTTGGGGGATCGAAGTATGTGTTTGGCATGGGGCTGAGCAAAGACTACGAAGCATGCCCTAAATCCTGCATCCTCTCATTGGGGATTGGATTTTTTACCCCTTTCTCTCTTGCCTTCCTTTGGTCAGTACTGTAATGCTTGGATTCTGCCTATAGAGGCCACCACTGTGCACTTAGAATCCGTTAAGTTCAAACTTGGGTCAACGAATTAGCTAGATTCTCAGAGCAGCAAAGACGTTTCCTCATGAGCCGGCAGAGCAGCTCCTGATTTACAGACTGTACGGCTGCTGTCTTTTGGGCAACGGCAATTGGAGGACAGCGAGGCTAAGCACAGGATCTGGGTACGGCAAAGCCACCAATGCAGATGAAGCGCTAGAGAGTCAGATGTACATCAGCTACGTCACATGTGCCAGTTGAAAACCCCATCTAATAACTCACTCAATGCAGTGGGCAAGGGAAAACCTCATTCTCTGGAGCCTCCACCACAGCAGTGTGATATTGTCCAAGTGGCACCTCCTGTTCATTCGCTTGCATTCGTGCAGAAATGGCATCCTCAAGATGCCAAAACAGGAAGCACCCCTGCAGGAAGTGCTTGGCCTGTCTGCACTACAAACCTGAGTCAGTTTCAAAGAAAGGCTTGGTTGTCTTGTCCCCAAAAGAGCCACAGGGAATGTGATTCTTGTCAAAGCCCTTCTATCGCCCAGCCTTTGTGGAACTACAATTCCCAGCATAACTTGCGAGCAAAACCCCTCCCCCATCAATTAAAACTGCCTGAAACCAGATTAAGTGTAGTGCAGACATGAGCAGGCAAGAATTCCTCCCTGGGGACAAATGACAAGAAGGACATTCGTGGAGGAGAGACTTAGCCAAGACTGCAAGATTCAAGTTCAGTGGCACCTTAGAGACCTATAAGATTCCGGGAGTATAAGCTTCCAAGATGCCGTTAGGCATCTGATGAAGAGAGCTCTGACTCTTGAGAGATTATACCCCCCAAATTTTGTTGGACTCAAATCTAGCTGTTGTACCGCAGACAAACATGGCCACCCTAAAACTAGCCAAAATGGCTACACAGAACCTCCATGTTCCAAGGCAGAAATTCTCTATCACTGGTGCGGGGCACCAAGAAAACATTGCTTTGCCCTTCCTGCCATGCCGGTTGGCCAACCGGTGGACCGCTGCGTGAGAAAGGACGGACTATGTGGATCTTTAATCTGACCCAGGAGAACCACCTTGACACACAAACGCTCTCTCTGCTGTTCCAAGCCGTACCGGAGCCCTCCAAGGCTTCAGAACCCATCCATTCTTTCCACCCGCCGATTCATTCACTCCCTGGGACAGGGAGCTTGCGTGGAAAGAGAGACAGGAGCTCAAAAAGGTTGCCGCAGGTCCACATCCCTGGCATTGCATGGCAGGGTGTCTGCCCCCCTTCCCCGCTGGTGCCCGTTTCTCAGACTTGGCTTTCTCGCACACTCTTATCGTCCAAGAAACCGGCGATTCTTCGCCAGCGGCTGCTGGGGTTCGTCGGGTTGGCCGCAGAGGAGGCTTCCTTCGGATGTTCTTCATCACTTTGGTCCTTAGCAAAATGTACAAACACCTTGGAGGGGAAGGAGGGGAGTGGGGAGATATTAGAAGAAGAAGAAGATAAGGGATTGGACTGGATTTATACCCCTCCCTTCATTACCCAAGGGAGTCTCAGAGCGACTTACAAACTCCTTTCCCTCCCTCTCCCCACAACAGACACCCTGTGAGGTAGGTGGGGCTGAGAGAGCTCTGACAGAAACTGCTGTTTTTCAAGAACAGCTGTGCCAGAACTATGGCTTGGCTAAGGTCATCCAGCTGGTGCAAGTGGAGGAGTGGGGGAATAAAACCCAGTTCTCCCAGATTAGAGTCTGTGCACTTAACCACTACACCAAACTGGTTCTGATTATTATTATCATTATTACCATTATTACCATTATCTGGGAGAATTATTATTATTAATTGCTCTGTTATCACATGAGGTTTTTTAAAAAAACGTAGAGCCAAACTAGATGTAGGGGAGGTTAAAAAGCGGGGTCTGGCTCAGGTTCCCACAGACAAACAGCAGCTGTGGGGAGTGTCTGTTGAAAAAATAAAGAAGAGCTTAAAAAGGATTTGCATGTTGCTTGGTGAGAGAGGGCTCCAGCCATAGAATCATAGAGTTGGAAAGGGTCATAGAGGCCATCTAGTCCAACTTCCGCTCAATGCAGGATCAGCCTAGAGCAGGGGTGTCAAACATGCGACCGGGGGCCGAATCAGGCCCCCGGAGGGCTTCCATCAGGCCCACAGTACAACTGGACATCTCCTGCTTCCAGTTCTGCTGCTGCTGCTGTATCATAGCCTGCTTCGCCAGACTCTCTTAATCACTCAGCCATTTCATGTTTTCACCTGGGTCCTAGACTCAGAACTCTGAGCGTGAGATTTCTGTGGTGAATATCAATCAATCAAAAGCAGGTTTGCAGCTTACAGAGCTAATGTTTTAAGCATGTTTTTATTTTAAGTAAAAAAACCTAATTTTGTGTTTGTGTCCTTTATAAAGTTTATATCTCCACTAACTGGCGTTACATTTTATGACACACATGGCCCGGCCCAACAAGGTCTCATTTATGTCAGATCCGGCCCTCATAACAAATAAGTTCGACACCCCTGGCCTAGAGCATCCCTGACAAGTGTTTGTTCACACGCTGCTTAAAGACTGCCAGGGAGGGGGCACTCACCACTTCCCAAGGCAGCTGACTCCACTGCTGAAGTACTCTTACTGTAAAAAAAAAAAATTCCCTAATATCCCGCCATGACCTTTCCATCCATAATTTATACCCATTATTGCGAGTCCTCTCCTCTGCTGCCAACAGGAACAGCCCCCTCCCCTCCTCTAACTGACAGCCTTTCAGATATTTAAAGAGAGCAATCATGTCCCCCCTCAATCTCTTCTTCATTTCTTCCCTCAACCTCCCAGGTCCCTCAGCCTTTCCTCATAGGGCTTGGTCTCCAGGCCCCTGATCATCTTTGTTGTTCTTTCCCCCCTTCCTCCAAGGCATTTTCCTGCATGGAAACAGTGCTGTTTTTGCAGCTACACATGCACAGAATACTCCGCATGGAACAGCAAAAACAGGAATTCATTCCCCCGTCTCAGCACTGCTTGCGGCTTGGGGGAGGGGGTGAAAGCCTCCCCCACAGTGGCATTCCAAGCCCAAACGGGCTCTCCAGTTTGATGTAGTGGTTAGGAGCCAGTTCGGTGTAGTAGCACAGACTCTAATCTGGGAGAACCGGGTTGGATTCCCCACTCCTCCACATGCAGCTGGCTGGACGACCTTGGGTTCTCTCAGAACTGTTCTCTCACGAGCAGTTTCTGTCAGAGCTCTCTCAGCCCCACCTGCCTCACAGGGTGTCTGTTGTGGGGAGGGGAAGGGTAAAGGAGATTGTAAGCTGCTCTGAGACTCCTTTGGGGACTGACGGGCGGGGTATGAATCAAGTCTCTTCTCTTTTTCTCTTCTCCTTTATTTTTTAAAAGATATTCCTCACAGCCAACTGCAGGGGACCTGGACCCAACTCTGTAAAAACCCGCATGTCTTGTTGCTCCCCCCTTTGCTGTTAAGTCACAGCTGACTCATGGCAGCCCCTGGTGGGGTTTTCAAGGCACTGCAAGAGACAGTCAGAGGTGGCTTGCATCACAACCCAGGACTTCCTTGGTGGACTCCCATCCAAGGACTAACCAGGGCCAACCCTGCTTAGCTTCCAAGATCTGAGAAGATCAGGCTAGCCTGGGCCACGCAGGTCAGGTCAGGTCAGGGCTGTTTGGCCCGTACATATGAAAGCCAAACACAGAATGCCACAAGCAGGTTTCTGAGAGCAACTGAAGAGTATTTAGGCAGGCTTGCTTTTCTGGAGAGCTGGGACTAGCCGCAGGTCTCCTGACGCTCCCTCGACAGCCAGCCCAGGTCCCAGGTCCGGTAATGTGAGAAACAGCCCCAAAGCAATTCTGCCAGCACAAAGGCATTGTAGAGCTAGGAGACTCAGACAAACTATCTCCAGGTCCACAGGTCAGCACGGAACCTGGTGAAGGGGATAAACGTCATAAAGCATATGGAACAGAAGTCCATCAGTGGCTACTAGCCACAAGGTAGCGGTGGCTCAGAGGTTAAGATGCTGAGCTGCAGACTGGAAGGTCTGTAGTTCAGCAGTTCGAGACCCGAGTGCCACGTGACGGAGTGAGCTCCCATCTCTGGCCCCAGCTCCTGCCAACCTAGCAGTTCGAAAGCAAGAAATTGCAAGTAGATAAATAGGTACCACTTCGATGGGAAGGTAACAGCGTTCCGTGTGCCTCGGTGTCTAGTCATGCCAGCCACATGACCACAGAAACGTCTTTGGACAGTGCTGGCTCTTCAGCTTCGGAACAGGGATGAGCACCGCAACCCTAGAGTCGGATTCGACTGGCTTTCGAGCAATGGAAACCTTTAGATAGGAACTCTCAGGCTGGGGCAAGTGATGCTCTGTATTCTTGGTGCTTGGGGGGGGGGGTCAATGGTGGGAGGGCTTCTAGTGTCCTGGCCCCACTGCTGGATCTCCTGATGGTACCTGGTATTTTTGGCCACTGTGCAACAGAATGTTGGACTAGATGGACCATTGGCCTGATCCAACGTTGGCTTCTCTCATGTTCTTATGTAGTCCCCGAAAGGGACTTGTTCTTGTGATTCCAGAAATTAAGCTTGAAAACATGGTTCTCATAGGAAGGTGGGAACCTAGAAAGGGTCCAAGCCGCCGCACCCTCGATCCCCATCCTCACCTGGTCCAGGGTGGTCTGGGAGACGGAGTAGTCTTCGATGTGGTAGGTGCCCTGGTGAGTGGAGAGGATGCCAAAGATCTTGGCCAAGGAACAGCCACGGGACGGCAGTTGGTACTGGAGGGTACAGTGGTGCTTCTCCTTCAGAATTATGCTGGGGAAGGAATCCCGGATGAACTTCTCCAGGGGGCCAAGGTCTGGGTCGGTCCCGGAGACCCGGAGCACGATCGTGTATCCGTCTCCGAACCTGAAGCAGAAGGGGACGGGTGTCTTTACAAAAAAAACGTTCTTTTGTGCGTGGGATCACGTTCGACCCCCTACACAGTGAAGGGTGGAGCCTTCTGCCAATACGAGTTTCCTTGCATTGGAGAAATGCAGAACCCCTTGCTGAGTGGGGTGACAGGATACAACCCAACACTGGCCTCAGGGCAAGCAATCCAAATTTAGCTCGCTGACAAGCATGGGGCCTTGGGGAGGGACCCCCCCCCAGTTCGGCAACTTTGAAGCAGACACCAGCTTTGGAAAGAACTGACTGGCTAGTGTCTGGGATGTCATGAAGAGACATCCCCTCCCCACCATCTGAGTACCTTTGCACCCTTATTTGAAGTAAGATAATGATGAAATCACGTACTACTTTGAAAGGCTGAGGGACTTGAGAATGTTCAGTCTGGAGAAGAGGAGGCCGAGGGGGGACATGATCAATGCTCCCTCTAAGCTGTGGAGTCTCGTGAGGAAAAATTCTACATTGTGAGCTACTGGCATTAAAGTTGTGAGCGAGCGATTTGGCTGCTGCATAAATTGGTTTGCTCTGGAGCCCATCCTTCCGGAGATAAAACACAAATCTGTGAGCTGGAGGCTAAAACACTGTGAGCTAGCTCACTCTGACTCAGCTTAGAGGAACACTGGACATGATTGCTCTCTTTAGGTATTTGAAGGGCTGTCACTTAGTGGAGGGCAGGGAGCTGTTCCTGTGGGCAGCAGAGGAGAGGACTCGCAAGAATGGGTTTAAATTAGGGGTGGGAAGGTACCGGCTGGATATTAGGGGATTATTTTTTTTTACAATACAATAAGAGCAGTTCAAGCAGTGGAATCGGCTGTCTAGGGAGGTGGTGAGCTCCCCCTTGCTGGCCGCCTTCAATCAGCGCCTGGATGAACACTGGTCAGGGATGCTCTAGGCTGATCCTGCATTGAACAGGGGGTTGGTCTAGATGGCCTGTAGGCCCCCCTTCCGACTCTGTGATTCTACGAAACAGATACAAACAAACGCAGGGGGAGCTCTACTGCTCCAACAGAGGGGAAATAATTGGAAATCCAGATCCCAGCAGTTTTAACTGAGCAAGCAGACTGAAAGCCAGGGATCAAGAAGGAGGCGGTCAATGGTGACCTTCTGGAACGGCAGTGCGGAGACCATGACTGTACCCTATGGTCCAGGGTCATGGGTGGGCTGGCTTCTTCCTGCACACTCTGGTTGTTTTCTTTAACTAGGATTCCTGTGGTCGACTGACGTGTTTTCAGTTTCCAAAGCGAGGGCTGAAGAGTCGGGCTCTCCTTCACAAACAGAAAAATAATCCAAAAGCGCACTATTTGCTCACATAAGCACAGGTGCATTGGATGTCATCTTCTAGGCATGGAACAGGGTCACTGGGGCGTGTGTGAATTGTGCAGGGGTTTGGACCAATACTCCCTGTAAGCTGTGGAGTCTTGTGAGCAAAAATTCTGCTTTGTGAGTTAGTGGCATTAAAGTTGTGAGCGAGCAATCTGGCTACTGCATCAATTACGTTTGCTCTGGGGCCCTCCTTCCTGAGCTAAGGCAAAAATCTGTGAGCTGGAGGCTAAAAAACCATGAGCTAGCTCACACTAACTCAGCTTAGAGGGAACACTGGGTTGGACTCAATGACCCTGGAGGTCCCTTCCAACTCTATGATTCTACGATGCTTTGCGACTTGGTGGCTGGCCAGAAATCAGCCCGTGTTTCCACCACCCACCCTTGCACCAGGGTACAATTCAAAGAGCCAGGTCTGCACATTTCCTGTTGGTTTGTGCGTGAGAATGTTCTTCGATTGTCGGCCATGTCCTGTTAATTCTCAAGGCCTCAACAAGCAAGAAGATAGCTGGCCAATTAAGTTTAAAAAAACAACAGGAAGAAAGAGGCCAAGGACAGTCTGCAGCCCGCATGATGTGAATGAAGTCAGTTGGCCCAGTCTCCTGTAAAAGTTTGGCAAGAGAACGGAATAAAGCAGGGACCTTCTAAAAGATGTGACTGAGCACACCAAAGTCTTCCAGAACGCGACTTCATATAAGTGGGAATACAGTCCTGGAAAAGGGGACTTTGTTCTGAGATTACCAGTTCCAGTTCCAGCAAGATAACGCCGCAGAGAAAATGTTCAAGATGAATGAAGACAACAGCGTGGGAAGAGAAATTGACTGTGCTATACTTACTGAGGGAAATATGATTATTAATTTGCTTTGAATGAAGGTGGGAAAAAGAACTGTAAAATGAGATGCCACTATTCTCTGAAATTTGTTTATAAGCGAAATAGCGATTCTCCTGTAATGCTCTCTATATAGTCAGACTCGATGGTTTGTCAACATATTTGATGAGGTGGATTGGCCACTCTCAATGTCAAGAAAAGCAATTGTTATATTGTTAAGCTAATATTTTTATCAGCAATGTATAACCTCCAACTCTTGGGCTTTTAGTAGGCTTTCTTTTCTTTCTCCTATAGTATTAGATCCCTTCCCTAATTTCGTTGTAGTTATTAGAAAATGCAAATAAAGAAATCCCCTACGGGGGGCCAAAAAAACCCCAAAAACCAGAACGTGACTTCTGATCTTCTCCTCTCTACTCCAAGCATTCCTCCTCTTGTACGTGGCCCCAGATCAATCAACAGCATCAGTAGAAGCAGCATGAAGTTTTGGCCTGGCCAGTTTTGCTTCCCTCCCCAAGTTTAGTTCTGTTGCCAAGTGCGTTGCTTCTCCATTTGCAACTATCTCCCTGACTCCTCAGGGAAAACTGTGGTACTCTTCTGCCGTAGCCATAGCAACTTCCTCCTCTTCTCTTCCTTATAAAATTATGCTTCAAGCAGAGGAAGTGGACGGAGAGAACTTTCTCTCCTTCTCCCATAATACTAGACCTTTGGGGGCACCCAGTATAACATCTGGGCGATAGATCCCGGATGGACAAAAAGAAGTAAGGCTTTAGTTGTTGTAGATTTTTCCAGCCTGTATGGCCATGGTCTTGGCATTGTAGGACCTGACGTTTCGCCAGCAGCTGTGACTGACATCCTCAGAGGTATAACACAGAAAGATGGAGTACTCTCTGTGCCTTACTCAGCTCGGAACTGGAATGTGGAATTCCCTTCCAGCGTATGCAGGGACGGCCAGGAGCGTGGGTGGCTTTTAAAGGGAATTTAAAGGGAATTCATGGAAGAGAGATCCATCAGTAGTTTACTAGCCCGGGTGACTAAAGGGAGTTTCCACGTTTGGAAGAAAGTCAACCTCTGAATACCAGGAGGCAGCATCAGGGGAAGGCCTCGGCCTCTGTGCCCTATTTGTTGGCCCTCCAGGGCAACTGGTTGACCACTGTGTGAGACAGGAGGCTGGACTAGAGGGACCGCTGGCCTGATCCTGCAGAGCCACCCCTTGAATTCCAATGACTTTGGGTGGTTGCACTTCAGCATCTTCTCCCCTTCCCTCCAGCCCGCTGCCATCAAAATTCTTCAACCGCATCATCTGTCTCACCAGGGACCACTTCCTCCTTAAATCATTCCACTGGTTTCCCGTCTTCCCCTGGGTCAGGCAGAAACCCACCCACCCATGCCTCCAAGACCTCCGTGGCCATCCCCCCCCACCACTACTGTGTCCCAACCAGGGGTCATTTCCTGCAGGAGCGGAGCGGAGCTCCGGCAGTAAAGAGCCCAGGGGGTGGGCACATACAACAAGCCCCACCCCCTGCTCCCAGCAGCCCCAGGCCACAAGGAGCAAGAAGCCTTTCCTTCCTTCCTTCCTTCCTTCCTTCCTTCCTTCCTTCCTTCCCTTTCCCTCCTTATTTCCTTCTCTCCCTCTTTCTTTCCCTCCTTCTTTTTTCCCTCCTTCCTTCCTGC